AATTTCCCCCCAGGCTGCCCCCCGGGACCCCCTGGACGTTTACCTGGAGCATCGGCTGCTGCTGGAGCAGCGGGGCCGGGCCACGGGAGCCCCCAGGACCCCCCAAAACCAGTTCCCCCCGGAGCTGCTGCGGCGTTTGTGAGTCTGCCCAGGGCCCTGGGGACCCCAGACCCAATTCCTGGCCACCCCAAAATCCCAAAACCCCTTTTTCCCCTCATTTTTTCCCCATTATTTCTCATTTTCCTTCCCTTTTTCCCTCACTTATTCCCCAATTCCCCTACTTTTTTCCCCCATAAATCCCATTTTTTACCCCAAAATCCCCATTTTTTCTCCCCAAATCCCCATTTTCCTGCCCAAAATCCCCGTTTTTCCCTCTCACAATTCTCATTTTTTCTGTTTTTTCCCAAAATCCCTGTTTTCCTCCCCAAAGTGAGCTGTATTTCCAGGCTCCCTCCTGCTCCAAGGCGCTGTCCCCGCGGGAGCTGCAGACCCCATTTTCCCCCCTTTTTTCTCCCTACAAACCCCATTTTTTCCCCCCACATCCCCATTTTTCCCTCTCACAATTCCCATTTTTTCTGTTTTTTCCCAAAATCCCCGTTTTTCTCCCCAAAGCAAGCTGTATTTCCGGGCTCCCTCGTGCTCCAAGGCGCTGTCCCCGCGGGAGCTGCAGACCCCATTTTCCCCCCTTTTTTCTCCCTACAAACCCCATTTTTTCCCCCCCCATCCCCATTTTTCCCTCTCACAATTCCCATTTTTTCTGTTTTTTTGAGGGGGGAACCTGAAATTCCTGACAGGAAACCCCAAAATCCCAAAAAATCCCCTCAGGAAACTCCAAAATCCCCTCAGAAACGGCTCCAGAATGGCGGCCGGGACCTTCAAAATGGACTCCGGGGTTTTAAAATGGGCTCAAAATCCACCGAAATCTGGGAATTTTGTATTCTGCAGCTCCTAAATGAGGGGGGAACCTGAAATTCCTGACAGGAAACCCCAAAATCCCAAAAAATCCCCTCAGGAAACTCCAAAATCCCCTCAGAAACGGCTCCAGAATGGCGGCCGGGACCTTCAAAATGGACTCCGGGGTTTTAAAATGGGCTCAAAATCCACCGAAATCTGGGAATTTTGTATTCTGCAGCTCCTAAATGAGGGGGGAACCTGAAATTCCTGACAGGAAACCCCAAAATCCCAAAAAATCCCCTCAGGAAACTCCAAAATCCCCTCAGAAATGGCTCCAAAATGGTGGCCAGGGCCTTCAAAATGGACTGGAGGGTCTTAAAATTAGCTCCAGATCCACCAAATTCTGGGAATTTTGGACTCAGGAGGTCCTGAGTGAGGGGAAACCCCAAATTCCTGACGGGAAACCCCAAAAGCCCAAAAAGCCCCTCAGGAAACTCCAAAATCTCCTCAGAAACGGCTCCAAAATGACATCCAGGGCCTTTAAAATGGACTTCAGGGTCTTAAAACTGGCTCCAAATCCACCAAATTCTGGGAATTGTGGATCCACGAGCTCCTAAATGAGGCGGAACCTGAAATTCCTGGCAAGAAACCCCAAAATAAAAAAAAAATTCCTTCAAGAAACTCCAAAATCCACTCAGAAATGGCTCCAAAATGGTGGCTGGGGCCTTCAAAATGGCAGCCAGTGTCTTTGGAATGGACTCCAGGGTTTTAAAATTGGTTCCAAATCCAGAAAATTCTGGGGATTATGGATTCAGGAACTTGTGGATGAAGGAGGATCCCAAAATTCCCTCATCAAACTCCAAAATCCTCCAAAATTCCTTCAAAATTGGATCCAAAATGGTGGCTGGGGCCTTCGAAATGGTGTCGGTTGTTCTGAAATGTCCCAAAATTGCTCCAAATGTCCCAGAAACTCCCCCAAATTGTTTCTAATGTCCCTAAACGGTCCAAAAAGTGTCTCCAAATGTCCAGAAATCTCCCCAGAATTGATTTTAACGTCCAAAAACGTCCCCGAATGCCCAAAAATACCCCAAAAATTCACTTTAACATCCTGAAAATGCCCCAGAACGGTCCCAAATCAGTTCTAATGTCCCAAAATTGAATTTATTGTCCTGAAATTGCCTCCCACCTGTCCTTGCAGTCAGACCAGGTGCCCGTGGGGCACCTGCCCCGCTCGCTGTCGCTGCACCTGAGCGGGGCCAACACGCGCCAGGCCCAGCCCGGGGACCACGTCAGGGTCACGGGCACCTTCCTGCCCCTGCTGCGCCCGGGCTACCGGCAGGTGACACAGGTGAGTGCAAAACACACCTGGGGGCACCCAAAATGTACCTGGGAACACCCAAAATACTCCTGAGATCCCAAAAACCTCACCTGGGAACACCCAAAAATGCACCCAGAGCTCCCCTTCCTGCCCCTGCTGCGCCCGGGCTACCGGCAGGTGACACAGGTGAGTGCAAAACACACCTGGGGGCACCCAAAATGTACCTGGGAACACCCAAAATACTCCTGAGATCCCAAAAACCTCACCTGGGAACACCCAAAAATGCACCCAGAGCTCCCCTTCCTGCCCCTGCTGCGCCCGGGCTACCGGCAGGTGACACAGGTGAGTGCAAAATGGACCTGGGAATACCCAAAATACACCTGGGAACACCCAAAATACACCTGGGAACACCCAAAATACACCTGGGAACACCCACCAAAAATCCCCATTTTTCACCCAAAAATCCCCATTTTTCACCCAAAATCTCTCGTTTTTTCCCCAAAATTCCGGGATTTTTTCCCCAAAATTCCTGTTTTTTGCCCCAAACGCAGGGCTTGCTGTCAGAGACCTTCCTGGGGGGCCATCACCTGTCCCCAGCCTCACCTGTTCCCTCCAAAAATTCAATTTTGCCCCCAAAAATCCCCATTTTTCACCCAAAATCCCCATTTTCACCCAAAATCTCTCGTTTTTACCCCGAGATTCCGGGATTTTTTTCCCAAAATTCCCGTTTTTTGCCCCAAATCGAGGACTTGAATCCAGGCCATCACCTGTCCCCAGCCTCACCTGTTCCCTCCAAAAATCCAATTTCCCCCCCAAAAATCCCAATTTTTTCCCCAAAAATCCCCTTTTTTCACCCAAAATCTCTTGTTTTTCCCCCAAAATTCTGGGACAGGTGACACAGGTGAGTGCAGAACACACCTGGGAACACCTGAAATACACCTGGGAATGCCCAAAATACACCTGGGGGCACCCAAAATACACCTGGGAACACCCAAAACATACCTGGGAACACCCAAAATACACCTGGGAATGCCCAAAATGCACCTGAGATCCCAAAAATCTCACCTGGGGGGCCTAAAAATGCCCCCAAAATTCTCTTCTTTTTACCCATCCCCCAAAATTCTGGGATTTTTTCCCAAAATTCCCGTTTTTTGCCCCAAATCGAGGACTTGAATCCAGGCCATCACCTGTCCCCAGCCTCACCTGTTCCTTCCAAAAATTCAATTTTCCCCCCAAAAATCCCTGTTTTTCACCCAAAAATCCCCATTTTTCACCCAAAATCTCTCGTTTTTTCCCCAAAATTCCAGGATTTTTTCCCCAAAATTCCCTTTTTTTGCCCCAAATCCAGGGCTTGCTGTCAGAGACCTTCCTGGAGGGCCATCACCTGGCCAAGGTGAACAAGAGTGAGGAGGAGGAGGGCGAGGAAGGGGAGCTGAGCCCTGAGGAGCTGCAGCAGATCATGGGAACAGGTGAGTTTGGGGGAAAAAACGGGGATTTTGGGAAAAACGGGGATTTTGGGGGGAAATTGGGGATTTTGGGGGGAAAATAGGTGTTTTTTTGGGGAAAATGGGGGGTTTTGGGAGAAAATTGGAGAGTTTTGGGAAAAAATGGGATTTTAGGGGGGAAATTAGTATTTTATTGGGGAAAAGTGGGGATTTTAGGAAGAAAAACGGGGATTTTGGGGGGAAATTGAGGATTTTTGGGGAAAAATTGAGGATTTTGGGTTCTCTGGAGCTGATTTTGGGGTAATTCCAGCCGATTTTGGGATTTCTGACCCCAAATTTCCCATTTTTTGCCCTCCCAGGGGAGAATTTTGGGATTTCTGACCCCAAATTCCTATTTTTTGCCCCTCCAGGGGAAGATTTTGGGATTTCTAACCCCAAATTTCCCATTTTTTGCCACTCCAGAGGAGGATTTTGGGGTTCCTGGAGCTGATTTTGGGGTAATTCCAGCTGGTTTTGGGATTTCTGACCCCAAATTTCCCATTTTTTGCCCTCCAGGGGAGGATTTTGGGATTTCTGACCCCAAATTTCC